TTTTGCTAAACATCATATTTAGAAAACCCTTCATATTAAAATATAAAACTTTAATTATAAAATATCATATTTAAAACAAATTTAGAAATAAAAATGTAATAATTTCGTAGTATAATTTTTTTAGCAAAGATAAAATAAATTTCGTTAATAAATTTGGGTCATTAAATTTTTTTATAATTAAATTGTGATTTCGCAATCTTGGTTGGTGAAATATATAAAAAATTATTTGTATAATTATAAATTTTATTTATTTAAAAATAATAAAAAAACTAAAACATATTATTCATTACACCTTATTTTTTTTTCTTATATAATTCTATTAGCATATAAAAAAATAAAAATTAATCATTAAATATATTTCATTCAAATAAATGCAAATCTCATCAAGTTTTGTTTTATTATTATTTTTAATATATCAACTTTAATCTACACTTTTATCTCATATCAATTAACAATTTCAAATATGACAAATTTTCATTTTTTATTTCCTAAAAATAACATTTTCCAATTTCTTGACACAAAAATTTCCAAATTTTGTTACTTTTACCATTTCCACTTTATCCTTTTCTTCTATTGGTTTTTACATATAAGGAAAATCAAGGAAGGGAGGAGAGAGATGGATAGAGTGTTTTCAGTGGATGAGATACCCGACCAATTCTGGTCGCCGCCGATTCGCCTCGACGATGCCGACGTGGAGCCGGCATCGTCGTGCGCCGCCGCGTCGTCCTCCTCGAAGATGAACCGCAGCTCATCGGAATGGGCGTTCCAGCGGTTCCTGCAGGAGGCCGCCTCGCCCGATCACGACAGCGCACCCCTCAAAACCGACGCCGCCGTAGGGATCAAGGGCAGCAATCATCATTACAACGGAAATCAGCAGCCGCAGGTGGCGGCGGCCGCCGCCGGACCTCCACCGAATATTCCGATCGATTCGGAGGAATACCAGGCGTTTCTCAAGAGCCGTCTGGATTTGGCATGCGCCGCGGTCGCGTTGACTCGGGTAGCTTCCATTTTTCCTTTGTTATTTCTTGTTGACGAATATTATTATCCCTTTTTAATGAAAGTGGAGAAAGCATTTGGGAGTTTCATATGGAATTGATGTTGGGGCGTCTTTGTGTGATGAAGCTCGGCTGAGAAATTTGTGCGCATCATCTGTTGTGCTTTTTGGCGTTTTTCAGACAATTCCTTTTCAGATTTAGGTTTGTTAATGTTGTTTATGATTCGGTAGTTAGCTTGTGCAGTGGCTTATGGGTTGTGTCTATATACATTAGGTATAGATTGTCTCATTTTTCTGAAAGAAAGAAGAAAAAACTTCTGAAGGACTCTGATATGTAGGCAACTAAAGGAAAAGCTTGTGATTCCGAGTCCTTTGCAGCAGCAGCAGCATCTGATGTCGGCTCTCAGGCATCCAATTCATCACACTGTAAAGGTTATTTAATATTTTGTTTCATCATTATGGATTGAATTTTTTTTTGTTCCTCCATAAACTTGAATGTACTTCATGCCTTTATGGTGTGCTTGTGAATATATATACATGTGTTAAAATGTAACTTGATCTGTATTTGGACTAATGAACCTGTCATGTAGCTGAGCATGTAGACTCGTTTCCAAAAACTTGAATGTACTTCATGCCTTTATGGTGTGCTTTTGAATATATGTACGTGTGTTAAAATGTAACTTGATCTGTATTTGGATCAATGAACCTGTCATGTAGCTGAGCATATAGACTAGTTTCAACATAGAAAATTGCATCCTTAGCAACTTTTTCAGAACCCAAGTATTTACTCTGCGCAAGGGTTAGCACCAGAATGCTCATAATGTGTGGCGTAAATGTACAATTTTTGGTATCTGTATCCAAATTTATGCTACAAAGTACATGGGATTTTGCCTTAATAAGTTCTCTTTTAGGTTATCGAAGTGTTTGGGCAAGAATATCTTAAGGCATAACATTTATAAAACTAAACTATAGAACTTCAACCTAACACTTGCAACCTGGATCACACTTGTATGATAGTTAGAAAGTGAGGAGGTCGGACAGTAAAAGTGACATGACATGAATGGGAATGCTTTAAAGGTAGTTGACCTTGTTGTGTATCATCACTTGTATCTATATGTGGGATTTGCAATTTCCTGTCTAGCAGGGCGTGACTCATTGAAGGCACAAGACAAGGATACAGCTGGTGTGCCTCCCATTCCTGCAAGTTCCAGGAAAGCTGGTACACAGGTGAAGTCAACAACAAGTGGCTCCTCAGGGGAACAGTCTGATGATGATGAGGCTGAGGGCGAAAATGAGACTACCCAGAATATGGACCCCTCAGATGCAAAACGCATGAGGAGGTATTTTATATGTATTTATATTCAGCTCGGCTTTGATTGGTTGCACTTTCCTTTTATTCTTTTCCATTTTTTGGGCTAACTGGCAATATTGGAGAAATAAGAATGAGTTTTACTAATCTGATTGATCATGTGATGCAAATGTAATGATGTTAATTGATGTGGTTAGTTTTTAACAAAGTAGATCTTAGATTTGACTGGTGGTTGGAAGGTAAGGGATGATGGACAACCTAATGTGATATTTTCTAGAATCAACTATAGCTGGATACGATTTATGATTGGAAGTGATGATGAGTAAATAGTGTAACAATTTAAGTTCTTTACAATCTGACATTTTCCCTCGAAAAATATTTGAAGAAATTTTACAAAATCAAACCACAAGCAACCAAAGTCTTAATTTTTCAATTGATTCTATCAAAGGCTCGACAATCATGTAAGAAAGATACACTTACGAAAATTAGTAGAGTGTGAGCTCTATATGTCTTAAGAGTTATGTTTTTGGAATATCTCTAAATTTCATATGGAGATGTGCACCAAATTGAATTGGCTCACTTGTTTGTACTATATCGTCTGCGTGCTACTCCAGATTAGGTGAACTCATTTGACATTAAAAAAACAATACCCTTTTTCTTCTTCTCTTTGATGACCTATTTTGAGTTAACATCTGGCGGAGCACTAATTTAAATAAGTGGTTCAAACGATTGCAATAATTCATAAAAAGGTTTAAGGTGGAAATTTGTCTGCATTCATTTGATATTTCCATTCAGATTTTCGAATTTTAAAGCCTGGACTGCAGGGAATGCTGCTATTGTTGTTCTACTTTCCTTCTTATCATAATATGGTTGCAATAGATCAAAATATGATGCTCGTGAATTAACTTTTCAGTATTTCGATTTGTTGGGCTCTTGCATTATTGTAATGCTTAAAAATATACTTGTTGATTTTGTGGTACATTTATACAGAAAAATGGCCTAACCGTTATAGATATAAAGGCATGCACAAGATATATGACTCCAAGTGCAGAAAAAAAGATTCTCTGGTGTGAGATATGAGAATTGAGAAGTGAGCAGGATTATCTCTATACTGGATTCCATTAATATATTAAATGTACATGGGTTAGTGATTATCTTAGTAATATCCATATTTAATAAAATAAATCCTTGATTGCACTAAAGTAGTCATATATCTTGTTAGTCCTTTACAAGTCCGGCGTAATACCTGTTTAGTTTTAAACTAAGGCCTGTTATCTAATAAATTTCATCTAAACTTTATCAGGATGCTTTCAAATAGAGAATCAGCTCGACGATCAAGAAGACGAAAGCAGGTTCATTTGACAGAGCTTGAGACACAGGTATGGAATCAACTCCCATTATTTATTTTCGGTAATATTTACGTCTTTCGACAATTAAATATTAGCTGTGTTTTGTTATAGGTCTCTCAACTGAAAGTCGAAAATTCTTCCTTGCTGAAGCGCTTCACAGACATAAGTCAGAAGTACAACGAAGCAGCTGTTGATAATAGAGTCCTTAAAGCTGATGTTGAGACCTTGAGAGCCAAGGTAACTTCTATCATCCTAAATCCAAAACGATGATGACTCTCACTTTCACCTAGGTATTGTATGGGTTTTGCATAATAGGATCTCCTTTTAGTGAAAAAAGGTGTTATGTGGTTCGCCTGTTCAGTACCCGAGGCTGTGTGATCTTTTCATTAGGCTGTTTTCTTTTTAGGCTATGTTTGGTAAACCTAGCTAATAAGCTAGCTTATAGCTTTTAAATGAATTTTGAGCTTATAACTTATATCTTATGACTTATGGCTGAAAATATAGCTTATATGATAAAAGTGTTTGGTAAAACTAGGTGAAATAAAGATTGCAATGACTTATTTTTGAAAAGCTACCCAGGAATCTTATAAAAGAAGTTTATGAGATAAGTTCAAGCTTTTTAAAAAAGCTAGTCCTACCAAATCAAGCTTATTTGAATACCAGAAGCTTATAAACTAATCAAATAAGCTATCTTATATGTTAAATAATGCTCACCTACCCACGGTGGACACATGTTAATGTGCCCACCTCTTATGCATGCCACACACATTGGTGATGTATTTTTTTTGAAGATATTAACATCACCAATGTGTGCATGCCACATAAGTGGTGGGCATATTAACATGTGCCCACCGTGGGTAGGGGAGCATTATTCCTTATATGTTTACCAAACACAACCTTAGTATAACTATCATACTCAATTCTACTCCTTACTTAATTCTCACTTGATTACGCAGGTAACTTTGAATTTTGTCTTTAATTCAGTCTGAGTGACAATTGGAAAAATTAGTTCGGCTGTTTTGTTTGTTGTCAAAGTTTTTGTCTATGAGTGCGTTGGGTTCATTCCCTTCGACATTTTTACTTTTTGCAGGTGAAAATGGCCGAAGAAACTGTGAAAAGAGTAACTGGGCTGAACCCGCTGTTTCAGGCCATGTCAGAAATATCGAGCATGGGCTTGCCATCGTTTGCCCCCACTCCTTGCGACACATCACCTGATGCTGATGTACCTATAAGACTAGATAATGATCCCAAGAAGCAAAATTACTATCATGCCCCTTACACCAATGCTACTGCTGCTAATGGTGACAATAATAATAATAATAATAGCCCGGCCGAGAACATTGTGCAAGCAAAGGGAACAAATTTAGGGATTGGGCCAAACAAAATTGGAAGAACGGACTCAATGCAGAGAGTTGCCAGCTTGGAACATCTGCAGAAGCGTATACGTGATGGTGGGCCAACCTCATCTGGCGGAGGTCAGTGATTTAAGGTCACGTATCAATCTAGAATAAATCCAATTGGATTTTAGCTATTGAATTTGTGGTCATTTATGTTGTCAGAGTTAATTATGAATGGGAAGACTTATTTATCTGTGTCTTCAAATTTGGTATTTGTCACTGCTGTAATTTTTTGAATCTGTTGATGTTTCTAAATTCTCTCGATTGGAAAGTGGAAACTCTGTGTGTGTATGTAATGTTTAAAATGACTCGTGGTTGTGTAGCTTGGCAGTAGAGGTACCCAATCGGTTACTGTTGTTCAATACATTTTTTTTTTTTTGGTTTGAAAAGACAGAATATATGGATTAACACATAATTACATCTAGATAATAACTAAACTATTGACTCAAGCAGCTATATAATTGAATCTATCTGTGAGGATAAACTCGAGGGTCGCTTAGAACCAACACAACTAAACAACAAAACACCAACAACAACAACATACCCAGTATATTTTCAACTGGTTGAGGTCTGGAGGGTCAGCTGTACGTAGACTTTACTCTTGTAATATACAAAGAGGTTGTTTCCGTAACGACCCAAGGTGCATTGCGTCGTTTGATATATTTTTTTTAGAAACTTCACTAATAGAAGAAGCACTAGAATTTAATTGAATCATTTTGATCTAGTCCATTATTAGCACTATGCCAGGAGAATTGTCAACAATGACTCTTCCAACTCCATTTGCAATGGACAATAAACAACAAAACACCAACGAGCACAAATTAGCTATACATGGAGAATAATTGGGAATACACAACACTCCCATTCACACTCACAAATGGAAGAATAACACAACACAACACAACACTCATAAACGCCTTCCCCACCAGCTAAAGTCACTCCAAACCATCACCACTCGAGCTAAAGAATAACACCACACTCACAAACGGGAGAAAAACACTACAAACAAACAAAACACGCAAACATAAAACAAAACTAATAACTAAAGTAAGACTCTCCCCATCATCTGAAGCCACTCCAAACCATTACCACTCGAGCCAAATAACCCAAGGCGACCACCCAAGGACTGAATCAATACTCGAATCAACACACAAATCTAGAGACCCCCCTATCGGACTAACTACACCCAAACCAGAAGGTAAGGTCGACAATCCTCTGAAAAAGCTACCATTGGGACGACACCTGGAGACACGCGTCTAACCTCCACCTCTAATTTTCTTGTCATTTTTCCTCAACCTCCCCTAAAAAAAAGATAAAAAGAAAAAAAGACGAGGAACCTTAAAACTCAAATAAATAATTGTTCTGATTGATAGATAGACGAAAACCCGATGGAATAGTATAAATAATAGGAGATGTTATGGTTACATATGATGATTTAACTGTTACAAAACCCGATAAAATAGTTCCGTAACGAGTCCCATAAGTAATATTGTTCATTAACTAACTCATATCATTTTCCTAATTGAGTTAATGCGCCACTATATAAGTTTTGTTTTCTTTACCCAATAAAATTATTTTTCAGGATTCTCACGTTCCCTGTCAACACATCTTCACGGATATTAGGGATTTCAGCTCTCTCTCTCTCTCTCTCTCTCTCTCTCTCTCTCATCATACTAACCGATATCAGCAGCGGCAGCCATGTCCGGCGAATCAGCCTCTGCTATTCCAAAAGGCCAAGTATATTTACATACTTCCTCTTTCTGGCCCTTCACTTTTTGCTTCGTTTTTAAGCATATTAGGTTTATTATGATCAAGCATTATGGTGCATCCATACAGGTTGATTTGCAGGAGTTCGTAGATTGGTCAGGCGTGGAATGCTTGAATCAAAGCGGCAGCCACTCACTTCCAAATGCTCTCAAACAGGTGGTTTAATTGTTATCTACCCAATTTGTGATGAAGATATTAGAGTCCTGTTATGTTCATCTTTGTGCTCTCCAATTTGTTTGTTTAGTTGTCTTTTGGAGGAATTTAGGCTAATGAGCTTTGAGGTTTTATTTAGGCTTTTCTGGGTTCTTGAGTT